TTGGAACATCATGATGCAAGGGAAAGCAGGGGCTTTGAGAGTAAAGAGCTAAGAGTTGGGGGCATGTGGGTGGACACAGAAAAGGTAGATATTTAGGCTTGGAGACTTGTGGGGAAGGTTTGGGACTATGGGAATCTGGGAGGATGTATTTAATAGGAAAGACGCAAAACATTCTCATTAGAGCTGAGTCAAGTGAGTTGTCTTAGCTTGGGTTCCCCAGAAGCAGATCCTGAGCAGGGGATCCACGTGCACGTGGTTTATTAAGGAAATGCTACCGGGAGGACCTGCAAAGGAGTGGACAGGAGAGGGGAAGAAGCTAGAGTGCGATGTCAGGTGGGGTTCCGGACCCAGCCTGGTCGGCAGCAGTGTTCTGAAACGTAAATCACAGTTCAGAGCTTGTGTCCCTGAGACAAGGGAGAAGGGCTTTGTCACTTCGCACCGGCCATGATTGGCTGGGGGCTGTTTAGAGGTGACCGGGGAACTTCAGACCATTCTGACTGTTCACGGGGACGAAGCGGCCCCAGCAGCCCAAGGGCTGGCCTTCTAAGCGTCACAGGTGCAGGAAGTCAGAAGCAAAGGCATGCAGAAGCTGAGGGTAGGGTGAGGTGGTGGTGTCAAATATCTGAGGGGCTGTGGGTGGGGCATTGAGAGTGTCGCCTTGATAATGCAGCCTTAGCTGTGTCCAGCTGTCCCACGTGATGTCTCTGCCTCTAAACCCCTCTGTGCAGCTTCGTCATCTGCAAAGCGGGGACAGTGTTACTCTACTTGCTCCCGTCACAGGATGATAGTGAAAACAAATAAAGTGAGCTGGGTACACAGATCAGGTTGACAACAACAAGCCGTCATGCAAAGCCAGGTGTTGCCACCGCCTCTTCCACCCAGGGGATCTATCTGCTCGGGCCTCTCCTGGGCACTTGTCTTGAGGGCATCAGCACTGACAGCCTTTGAAAAGAGCTTGTTTGTGTTGGGAAGAAAGCAGGTACTTTTTTAACGTTGATAAATTTTGCAGCAGTTTCTTTAATATATACCAGGCGCCCTGAGATCTGTCTGATGAACCACCAGATATCTTGCTGTGGCTGTGTTTGCTTTGATGTGCTCATCAGCACCAGCAAGGAAATATTGGAAAGCGAGTCGTAATGGGACTTCGCTCTTGTAAAATGCCTTTTATCTTCAAAGTGGCTTACAACCACTAATTATTAGAGGAATTAGGGTGAACAGCAGCTCTCTCACAGAGCCCTCAAACCAGTATCAAGGGCCTTTAATGTATCTTATAACAGAGCTAGAGAAGTGAGAAGGGAGATGTTGAGTAAGGGCTGTCGAGACCGGGAAGAGATACTCTATAACGCAGGAGACAGCCGTTGCCTGGCTCCCATGAGGCTAGAACAAGGAAATCGGACCTAATCTGAGGGGAGAGGAGGCAGGATGTAGCGGTTGCCCAAGTGGCAGCAGGCCGCAGCAGTGGTAGGATAGCCTGCTCTGAGGCGCTCCCAGGCCCCTGCCCTGTTTACACAGCTGGGGGACATATGGCCTCCTGGGAGGCCTGGGGGGGGTTGACGTCACCACGAAGTCCCATCCAGCGGGGCCATCAGTGGTAGATTTCTAGGCTTCTTGATCCTATCTCTTCAAGTAGTATTTTTTTGTTTTGTTGCTTTTTTTGATTATTGGCTTGTTTTGTTAGAATTTTGCCTGGGGGGGAGGAAGCCAATTTGAATTTCATCATCATAAGAATAATAACAATAGCGATCCTTGTAAGGTACTGTCCCTTCCCTTCATTTCACAAATGGGGAAAGTGGGGCTCAGAGAGCTTAAGAGACCTGTCGGTGGCCGAGTAGCCGGTGCCTCAGGTGGTCTGGCCTCGGAATTCGCGTTCTTCTGCAGCAAGGGGCCTGTCAGAGAAGGGGCGGGACTTGTTCAAAGCCCTCTGTACCATGTGTCGGAGAAGTAAATACCAGTCTCACAGGGAGCAGGGAAAGTCTCTCTGCCGGGCTGGCCTGAGTCCTGTGCTGGCTCTGCTCATCTCGAGCAGGGTGGTGGCGGAGGGAGCCTGCAAGGAGCAGCTCAGCATCCTCGTTCCTCACCGAGAGGATCCTTGCGTCTGCCTCACTGTCCTGGTCCCACCGGAGGGTCTGCCCAGGGCCGTGGGGAGGGCAGGAGCGGCATAGGCATGAATAATGGGCAGGCCACCTGTGAAACCCTGAGGTTTGCTTGAGGCCCATTTTCCCCACGTACAGAGATGGATTTAAAATGGGCCCTGCCCTAGAGGTCTAGGGTTGGGGTACAGCCTAAGGGCGTCCGCTCCCATCGCCTGTGCAGACAGTCCTGGGGGTACAGAGATCGGCCTGTCAGGGCACCCTGGGCAGAAACATCAGCTTCCCAATTTCTTAGTGAGACCTGATTGTCGGTAGTTTGAAATTGGCCATGGTGGGAATGTTGGCACCACAGAAACAGGCAGATGCTACAAATCAGTGCTCTCCCAACCCCACCTCAGAAAACTGGTTGTTAAATATTGCGGTATCTTTCTTTCCAACACCATTTTGACACCAAATGCATATCCTAAGATTTAGTTCAATTCTGACACTGACACAGACCCCACAGGTTAAGGGCTCAGTCCCGTAAGACTGCCCCAACTCAGATGCCAGTTGCAAGTCCCAGGTTGATGCCTGTATGTCTGAGCAATGGGCTGTAAATTCTAGGCTTCCCACAACCCCCTCCTCAGGTTCAAGAATTTACTAGAACAACTCACAGAACTCAGGAAAGCGCTTTACTTACTAGTTACTGGTTTACTATAAAGGATACAACTCAGGAACAGCCAAGCAGAAGAGATGCATGGGGCAAGGGACAGTGGGGTGTGCCATGGGGCTTCCATGCCCTCTTTGGGTGAGCTGCCCTCCCAGATCCCTGATGTAGCCACCAACTCAGAAGCTCCCTGAACCCAGTTGGTTAGGGTTTTATGGAGGTTTCACATGTAGGCATGACTGATTAAACATTGGCCATTGGTGATTGAGCTCAATCTCCAGCACCTCTCCTTCCTGGAGGTTGGGGGGTAGGGCAGAAAGTTCCAGCCCTCTAATCACATGGTAGGTTCCTCTGGCAACTAGCCCTCATCCTGAAGCATCTAGAAGCCCAGCGATAGTCACTCCTTAGCATAAACTGAACTATGGTTCAAAGGGGCTCATTATGAATAATGACACTCCTTCTACTCAGGAGATTCCAACAATTTTAGGAGCTCTGTGCCTGGGAGCAGGGACAAAGACCAAGCAGATATTTTTCAACATTCCACGGATATTTACCACTCTCAGTCCTCACTCTCCATGGTCAGTTAAGAAGCCAACACACATTTATTATATGAGCACCTGTTATATGCAAAGTGCCGGCTGGGGATTAGTGGGACAGCTGTTCATTTAAATGATCAAATATCAATTTCATCCTTACTAAGATTCATTGACGGGGCTTCTGCGTTCAAAGAAGAAGTAAGACATATTATGTACACGTGAAAATCTAGCCAAGCAGACCAAGGAGTCTGTTCTGAATCCTAGAGCGTGAAAGAGTCAGCAAGTCCTCAGAGGGACAGAGGCCAGAGAAGCCCAGGCTGGGCGCTCAGGAAAGACTTCTCAGAGAGATGGACTTAGAACTGGGCCTGGGAGGCAGACCTCTGGAATGTTCTTACGGGACGGAGGGGGAACTGAGAAACTTGCTTGTGTTGAGTTCTAGAAAACAAATGCAGCCCCATTATACATCTGGCCTTTCTCCTTTCCTCTTGTTGGTGGTAAGTTTGGGTCTCAGTTCTGCTTGCTCCTGACCCTGCACAGGTCACCTAACTTCTTGGGGACTGAGATGCTCATTAATAAAAGAGGGAAAAGACAACCAGTCCTGACAGCTTCACAGAATCACTATGGAAATGAGATAATAGGAGTGAAAGTTCTTTTAAAACAGCAAAGTATAATTAGTGTCATTAAGTTTATGTCTTTCATTACTTCATCACCTCACTATCCGAATTTTGAACTACAAAGGGGAATACTGAAAATGCCTTAGAAATTATTGTAAGAGCTAACATTTACCAACAGCTTACTGTGTGCCAGGTTAGTTTCTAAGTGCTTTACACGTTTTAAATTGCTGAGTCCTCACATGAAGTAGATACTATCACCTGCATTTTACAGATAGGGAAACTGAGGCCTGGAGAGGTTAAGTAACTCACCCAAGGTCATACACTGGGAAGTCACAGAGGCAGGATTTGAACCTCGGGAAATTTGGTTCTTGCATTCTGTTGCCACGCCTTCATACAGCTCAAGCTGGGTGGGGTTCCTCTTTTCCACGAGGAGGAAGAAGAGAGCTGGAGTTCTCTGAGCTTGTTCTCTCTGCTCTGGTCCCCAGCCTTTGCCCCCCTCACCCTCCACATTCTCTCCCTAGTGAGAAGCAGGGTCAGGCCCTGTCTAGCGGGCCGTGTGGATGCCCAGAGCCTCTCCTCCCCCACGCCCCCTGCAGCAGTTCTCAGCAGGGACCTGACCATTTCCTCGTCCTGTGGCAACATCCAGCAGCCAGTGTCTATCTCTCTGCCTGGGGGCCTTCTCCAGAGTCGCCAAGCACAGGGCGAACTGGAGTGCTAGGGAATTAAGCCCCACAGGAGCAGGCCTGCCCCAGTGCCTGCTCGGGGTTGATGTATAGCTACCCCAGCTCCTTTCCCCTGGGGTTGGATAGCTGCCACGTGGTCTCCACCAAGTTGCAGAGTGTCCCGGGGGTATTAAGCTCCACAGCTGCTTATCTAGTTGGCTGGATAAGGCACCCTTGATTGGCTTCCCTCCCCTCTCTGTCACTTCACAGTCCCCAAACAGTGTTCCTTGTCCCTTTCAAACAAACTGTTGTCACTCAAATCTTTGTGATGGTCTTCTATGCCACCACCTGTCATGGGTTGAATTGCGTCCCCCAAAAGATATGTTGAAGTCCTAACCCCCAGCTCCTGGGAATGTGACCTTATTTGGAAATAAGGTCATTGTAAATGTAATTAGTCAAGTTAAGATGAGCTCATTAGGGTGGACCCTTAATCCATGTGACTGATGTTCTTGTAAGGGGGGAAGGTGGTGTGAACAGAGGCACGCGAGGGAGACGGCCATGTGCCCAAGGAGGCGGAGATCAGAGGAGTGATGCGGCTGCCGGACTGGAGCTGCCCAGGGTTGCCAGCCACCACCAGGAGCTGGAAGAGGCAACGGAAAACTCGCCCAGAGCCTCAGAGGGAGCAGGGCCCTGCCAACACCTGGATGTTGGACTTGCAGCCTCTAAAACTGTGAGAGAATAAATTTCTGTTCTTTTCAGCCACCCAGTTTGTGGTCCTTTGTTGTGGCAGCACTAGGGAACAAGTACACCTCCCATCCGAGGCCTGGATTCTTCCTGAGGTCGCTCTTTCCCTGGGGGCCCGCTCCACGCCCTTCCCTGACGAGCATCTCACATCCCTTTATCCAGAGCTGCCTTTGAGACCCCTTGCTCGGCAGTCCTGTGCCTCTGCAGTTTGACATGACTCGCCTGTCTGCCTTCAGTTGACACTGCCAACTCTGCGTGAGTGGTCGAGACTGCCGCATGGGGAGCATTCTGTCACCGAAGCCCGGGTAATAATTAAAGAGGTCGGAACGGATCCTGAAGGTGCTTTCTGAGCTTTTGATTTCCTAACAGTCTGCTGTGGGAGACATTCGAGGGAGATCAGGGTGGCTTAGTGGCTGCTTTCAAGTTTGCGATGGGTCTGGTGTGGAAGGAGGTGCCATCTCCACGGAGTCCAGACTAAGAGGGAAACTAGCTGAGAACCTTCAGGAGGGATTTCAGCTTGATCTATGAACTTTCTGACTGCAGTGGTTACTAAGCTGCTAGGATTACTGTGGAAGGCTGGGAAATGTTCCTGGAAATGTTTGAGGGCTGGCTCATTTCCATCTGTGTGCAAAGCTTTCACCGGACCATTCTGGAGAAGAGTGGTCTGCAAGCCCTGATAGAGACAGGCAGATAAAACGCAGTTTCTCTCTTCCCTTTGTGATGGTGATGGCCTTGTCCCTTTGCCTTTGGAATGTGGCCAACCACTTTCCCTTTTATGGGTGTAGTGTCTATTGGTGTAAAAAACCTTTGAGACAGAAAGCTGCGTCCAGGCCTGAGCCGGGGGCATCCCTGGGCTTCATCCAAATGTTAGACAGCAGAGCCCGTCACGGGGCTTCCATTTTATTTTGAAATGAAAGTAGAAGCCCTTCTGTTGTTTTCTCTTCCATTCCCTTTGGAAAACCCACAGATGCTGTGCAAAGATTGCAGGCTGAGCCAGAGAAGGAGTGAGAGAAAGGAGGCTCAACTCCTAACAGGGGTATGTTTCCAGGAGGGGCTTCCTCCTGCTCCCTTATTTTCAGAGTTCATTTAGCTCCTTACACTAACGGACTGAGGGCTTTCGCAGGGAAATTACTTAATTTTCAGCCATTCCTGCTTATCATAGTTGAATGTAAAAGGAAGAATCAGGCTCCTGGGGATAAATACCATAGGTAGGGCTAGATTTGCACATCCTGGAGGATGTGAGAAGGTTCTGGCTGGATCTATTCAATTCTTTTTAATAGATTTATTGAGATATTGACATACCATAAACTGCACATATGAAAGTGTACAATTTGATGAGTTTTGATATGTATTTGTATCTATGTATATGTGTGTATACGTATACATTTGTAGGTATGTATACTTTCATGAAACTGTCTCCACAATTAAGATTGCGAACATGGCCACAGCCCACGAAAAGTTTCCCCTTTCTCGTTTGTAATCCCTCTTTCTCACCCTTCTCCACCCTCCCTTCTCTCTTTTCTGTGACTGTCGATTAGTCTGCATCTTTTATAATTTTATATAAATGGGATCAAATGCACTCTTTTTTTGTCTGGCTTCTTTCACTCACATGATTATCTTGGGATTCATCCAGCTGTTCTTGGTTCCTGGTTCAGTCGTCCCTCCTTTCAGAGCGGGATAGCGTTCTATTGTGTGTGTACCGCCGTTCGTTTACCCGTGCTCCTGTGGGTGAGCATTGGTTGTTTGTGGCTATCACAAATAAAGCTTCTGTGAACATTCATGTACAGGTCTTCGTATACACATACGCTTTTATTCTCGTGGGTGAATATTTAGAAGTGAGGTGACTGGATTGTGTTTTAGAAGTTTGTTTGACTTTTTAGAGAAACTGCCAGATATTTTCCAAAGGGGCTGTACCATTTACATTCTGACCAGAGAAGAATGAGCACACTATCCAGTTCCTCCACATCCTTGCCAAGACTTGGCATGAACAATCTTTTTAATTTTAGCCTTTCTAATAAGTGTACAGTATATTACATTGCAGTTGAACATTTTCATTTAGTTATTTAACATCTATGATGAGGATTTTTAGGCTGCTTAATTTTAAAATGGCTGATGATGAGGATTTTTAGGCTGGTTAGTTTTAAAACTACAGATGAGATTCAGGCTCCAAGGAGTGGAATTTGTTTGCTCCTTTGTTGGGAAACATTTACATTTCTAAGGGAAACCTCTGTCTGTGAAGATGCCTCCCTCTCTGTGCCAGGAAGAACGGGAATGGTCTTATCTCTAGAAGCTCTTAATGGGGAAGGCAAGAACTTAAGTTGGTTGCTGTCTGGCACTCTCATGTAACTGGTTTAGGGTGGTGGCTTCTGACCTTTACTTAATCCGATTTGATTCTTGTCTAAAAGTCATGGGATCACCCAATGACCAGACCCCACCTGCACTGATACCATTTTAACTTTTTTTCATGTTCTTTCCTTTGTCTTGTAAAGAGATGAATCATATACCTATGCCTTAAATTTAGCTCTAACCCTCAACTGGGGGCAGCAGGAGCTCTGACTGCCCGTGGGTCCTGTCCCCACGCACCAGCTCTGCCTGCCCATGGGTCCCGTCCCCATGCCAGCGGGGCAGCAGCAGGAGCTCTGACTGCCCGTGGGTCCTGTCCCCACGCACCAGCTCTGCCTGCCCATGGGTCCCGTCCCCATGCCAGCGGGGCAGCAGCAGGAGCTCTGACTGCCCGTGGGTCCTGTCCCCACGCACCAGCTCTGCCTGCCCATGGGTCCCATCCCCATGCCAGCGGGGCAGCAGCAGGAGCTCTGACTGCCCGTGGGTCCTGTCCCCACGCACCAGCTCTGCCTGCCCATGGGTCCCGTCCCCATGCCAGCGGGGCAGCAGCAGGAGCTCTGACTGCCCGTGGGTCCTGTCCCCACGCACCAGCTCTGCCTGCCCATGGGTCCTGTCCCCATGCCAGCGGGGGCAGCAGCAGGAGCTCTGCCTGCCCATGGGCTCTGTCCCCATGCCAGCGGGGGCAGCAGAAGCGGCGGCAGCAGAAACTCTGACTGCCCATGGGTCCTGTCCCCATGCTATTCTACTCTCTAAATAAAAGAGCACTACTGCCAGATCTTGAGAGTCTAAGAAATCTTTCTTTCGACTCCTCGGCTCACCGACCCCGCATCAATCTATACATCTTATTTGACAAACTTCCTGTTCAAATATTTGACCATTTAAAAAATTGAGTTATTTTCTTATAAGTTATTTTCTTATGAGTTATTTCCTTAATGAGTTTCGAGAGTTCTTGATATATTCTGGATCAAAATCTTCTATCAGTTATATGCATAGCAAATATTTTTTTCCAGTCTGTGGCTTAAATGGTGTCTTTCAAAGAGCAGAAATTTTGATAAAGTCCAATTTCTCAGGGTTTTAAAAAATGGATTATACTCTTCCTATCATACCTAAGAAACCTTTGCCTAAGTCAAGGTCACAAAGATATTTTCTTGCTGGAGTTTTATTATTTTCAGATTTTACATTAAGGTTTATGATCCATTTTGAGTCCATTTTTGTATGTGGTATAAGGTATGAATTGAAATTCTTTTTGCAAATAGATTTTCAGTTATTTGGGTACCATTTGCTGAAAAGATTAGCCTTTCTCTGCTGGATTGCCTCTGCATCTTTGTCAAAAATCAGTTATATATACAGGTCTATTTTTGGATTCTCTAATCTATATTCTGTTGCATGTGTCTATTTTTCTGTCATTGTGCCGTTTCCCCACTGTCTTGATTACTGTAGATTTATAATAAGTCATGAAATCAGGTAGTCTTTAGTCTTTCGATTTTCTTCTTTTTCAAACCTGTTTTGGTTTTTCTAGGTCCTTTGTGTTTCTGTATGAATTTTAGATTGGCTTGTCAATTTCTACAAAAAAGCCTGCTGGGCTTTTGAGCGGGATGGAGATGAATCTATAGATTTAGGGAGAAATGATGTCTGAGTCTTCCAATCCATGAACGTGCGTATCTCTCCATTTGTTTCAGTCTTCTTTAATTTCTCTCATCAATATTTTATAGCTTTCAGCAGGTATTATACATTTTTTGTCAGATATGTCCCTAAGTATTTCATATTTTTTATCCAATTGTAAATGATATTTTTATTTAAATTTCAGCTTTTTGTTGCTAGTGTGCAGAAATGCAATTGATTTTTACCGAGAGCTTGTGTCCTTTAACCTTGTCAAAGTCACAAATTAGTTCCAGTAGCTCTTTGTGAATTTCGTCAGATTTTCTACATAGACAATCATGTTGTCTGGGAATAAAGACAATTTTACTTCTTCCTTTCCAATTCGGATGCTTTTTATTTCTTTTCTTGCCTCATTGAACTGACTAAACCCTCCAACACCATGCTGAGTAGACGTGGTCAGAGCAGACATTCTCCTTGTCTTTTTCTTGATCACAGGGGGAAAGCATTTGGGTTTTCACTATTAAGTATGATGTTAGCTGTTGGTTTTTTTGGAGATGTCCTTTTTCAGGTTGGGCAAACTCTTTCCTATTCCTGGTTTTCTGAGAGTTTTCATGAAGAGTGGATGTTGGGTTTTGTCAAACATTTTTTCTGCATCTATTGGGATAATCATAAGGTTTGTCTATTTTAATTTGTTAATATGGTGAATGACGTTATTGATTTTCAAATGTTAAACCACTCTTGCACTCCTGGGATAAAACCTCACTTGGTCAGGACCTATTATTCGTTTTATGTATGGTGTTGCGTTCAATCTGCTAAAATTTCCTGAAGAATTTTTGCGTCTATGTTCCTGAGGGCTATTGGCCTGTATTTTTTTTTCCTTGTAGTGTCTTTGTCCAGTTTTGGTATCAGGGTAATCCTGGCCTCATAGAATATGTTAGGAAGTATTTCATATTCTTCGATTTTCTGGAAGAGTTTGTGTAGAATTAGTGTTAGTTTTTCTCTAAATATGTGGTAGAATTTATCAGTGTAGCCGTCTGGGCCTAGAGGTTTCTTGTAGGAAGATTTTTAACTGTTAGGTCAATTTCTTTAATAAATATGGTGTTATTCATGTTATCTATTTCTTTTTGAGTGAGCTTTGATATTTAGTATTTTTCGAAGAATTTGTCCACCTCCTCTAAACTGCCAAGTTTATTGGCATAAAGTTGCTCGTAATATTCCCTTATTAGCCTTTTAATGTCTGTAGAATTTGTAATGGTGTCATCTCTCAAATTTCTGATACTGTAATTTGTATCTTCTCTCTCTATTGATCTTCCTAAAGAACCAGCTTTTAGTTTTGTTAATTTTCTCTATTTTTCCATTTCATTGATTTTTGCTCTGATCTTTATTATTTCTTCTCCTTACTTTGGGTTTAATTGCTCTTTTTCTGGTTTCTTAAGTTAGAAGCTGAAGTCATTGATCTGAAATCTTCTTCTCTTCTAATATATGTGTGTAGTTCTATACGTTTTTTTTCCCTGAGTACTGCTTTAGCAATATCCTACAAAAATTTGATATACTGTGCTTTTATTTTCTTTTAGTTCAAAGTACTTTTTAATTTCCCTTTTCATTTCTTCTCTGACCCATGGATTATTGAGAAATGAGTTACATAGTTTCCACATATTTGGGGATTTTCCAGAGGTCTTTCTGTTACTGGTTCTAATGTAATTCGATTGGGGTCAGAGTACATACTTTGTATGACTTGAATCCTTTTAAATTTATTGAAACTTGTTTTATAGATGAGAATATGGACTGTCTTGGTAAATATTCCACGTGTGCTTGAAAAGAAAGTGCGTTGAGCTTTTGTTGAGTGGTGTGTTCTGTAAATGTCAGTTAGGTCAAGAGAGTTGACGGTGCTGCTTGAGGCTGCTGTCTCCTTACTGTTTTCTGTCCACTTATTTTATTAATTATTGATCAAGGGATATTGACATCTTTGCATATGACTGTGGATTTGTCTATTTTTCCTTGCAGTTCTATCATCTTTTGTTCCATGCATTTTGAAATCCTGTTATTAGGTGAATAAGTGTTTAGAATTGTTATATCTGTTGTTGAATTGACTTGTTTGTCGTTATGAAATGACTTTTTTTGTGCTCATTAATATTCTTTGTTTTAGAATCTACTTTGCCTGATTTTAATATGCAGTTTCTCTTGACTAGTGTTAACATGGTATATATTTTTCCAACCTTTTGTTTTTAACCTATTTGTGTCTGTATATTGAAGTATATTTCTTGTAGGCAGCACATAGTTGGGTTTCCTCAACTTCGAGAGTCTGCCAGGCTCTGTCTGGATCTCCCCTTCCTGGGCCGTGACCAGAACTCTTCAGGCAGGAATGGGGTCGTTTGGTTTCCCACCTCTCAGGATCGGGGCTTGGCTAAGGTGACCTGAGGGTGGCCCCATCGTGCAAAATTTAAGAAGGTAACCACTCACAGACACATAGCTTTGAGAGTGGATGCCTCGTTAAATGCTGCAGCCTCTTTAAATTTTGTCCCTCTCTCTTAAGACACCCCCCTTTGAGCGGTGCGCTAACAGGGTTGGCACCTGAGAGTCAGTCCTCCTTTAATTTTGCACTTTAGGGACCTCGCTCAGCTCACCTGTGTCCCAGCTCTGCTAACGGATCACTGTCCTTCATTATCTGACATCCAGTGTCTTGGAAACCATCTAAAAAAATTTTTTTTTCTGGATTTTTGATTATTTCAACTGGGAGTGTAAATCCAGTCCCTGTTACTCTATCTTTTCTGGAAACAGAAGTCTAGACTTCTTCTTTATGAGGTTAAAAAAATCCCAGATATAGAGCTACCTGCCTGCAATACAAGCGTTTTCAGGCTTCCCTGAAAAGAATTTAGCAAAAGATTGGTCTTCCTTCATTCAGCCATCAGTGAGCACCTACTGTTTACCATGTGCTGGGCTGGGAGCTGCAGATAAAATCAAGTAAGATGGTGTCGGTCCAGCAGTTGCTCATAGCTGGCTCCTGTAACACTGTTAGATCGGCTCTTTCAGACCATGCATCACCTGGGACATGGGCCAGAGAAGGCGGAGAGCCAGAGAAAGTCAGACCTAGAGTGGGGAGACCATCTCTACTGAGTCTCATGCCCAGAGTGGTTCAGGGGCTCACTTAAGCTCACACAGTTAATCAGTAGTAGTCAGTTGATACATAGTCTATTTTGAGAGATAAGGAGGAGGGACCCAACCCCAAATACCTTCCATCAATGCCGGTCACCATGACTGAAGTCCCGCCATTCGAGGCTAACTCACTGAGGGCAGGGACCAGGCCTTATTCATGTTTGCATTTCTCAGTGTTAGCTCAGAGCCTGCTATGTGGTAATCAATAGATGAGAATGAATGAATGAACGAAAGGTAAATGTTAAAATGATCCAGATGCCTCTGGAAGATGATGTAGGTTATCATCAGATGGGGATGGGGAGACTCTTAAGAGCAAGCCCACAGCCAGGACCCGTGATGGGAAGGCAATGTGGTGTGGTCCATGAGGTCTCTGACTGTCCTAGAGCTTCATCCAACTAAGGCGACTCTCAAGGCCTCTTTCAAACTCAATTTCCTCATCTGTGTGACAGAGATCTGATCATGCTTCCTTTAAAGAAGGATGTCAGGTTCCAACGGGATGAAGTATGTTGGGGGCCTGGCAAGAGAAAACCCTCAAGGAATGACAGGTATTGTTAGTCTAGTGTCCTGGGAACAGCAGGTGGGAGTGAGGGAAGGCTGCTAGATGGCAGAGACCTTGCAGACAGTCCTGTGAGGTAGCAGGAAGACAGCAGGCTGCTCTGTTCAACCTGTGTATTTACAGAAGCTCAGATGTTACCACCCTCATTATCCAAAAGCCCTTCCTAAGCTCGGCATTGCACATAGATGTGCCGGGCAGTGCCCATAAACCCTGCAGACACAGCCCTGCTTTGTCAGGTCTTACATCCAAGGCAGTTCCCTTTGAGAAAGATGGGATAAAAATGTTAAAGCTGTGTATGATCAGGTGACAGCCAGTTCACACCATGTAGGGTGGAGAGAAAGACCGTTTCCCCGTGACGGGCCGGTCCGAGGAGTCAGGGTGGGGCTTCCTTGTCCAGCCAAGTGGAGCGAGAAGGTGCCGTGTGCTCTGCCTTGTCCAGGCTCTGTTGCCCGGAGTTCCTTCCTGAGGCCAGAATGGTCTCGCAGCTCTGGGCTCACAGCTCTTGACAGATCTGTAGTGGGGGATGTTGGCTGAAATCGTCGGTGGCTTTGGAATCGTGGTGAAGCTGAGCCCGAGGTCCAGCCTCTGACAATCAGTGACGCTCACCTGGCGATGCAGGGACTTTCCACCTTTTTCTGACCGTGGACACAGGAGACGTGATTTAGGGCTTCGCTTTCTTCAGTTCCTCACAAAATACATTACAGTGCGTATCTATGTCTTTAAGTTCCAATATTATCATATATTTAAAATTTGTGATTACTAGACAACTTCCAGAGACTCTTCAGATGGAAAAAATCCAAGGATATTGCTATTTCCGTTTATCACATTAACCCAATTTTTCGTTAATAATATTTTATTATTTTGAAATGTCACAGGCTTACAGACTGTCAGGGCCATAAGGGACCTTAAAGACAGACGGGTCCAGTGTTCTCATTATACTGATGAGGAAACTGAGGCCCAGATAGGTACTGACTTGTTCAAGGCCACCTAAGCAGCAGCGGGGTCTGGACCAGAAGCCAGACTCTGTGTGCCCTCTTCCAGGATGTCACATTGCAGTGCACCCTCTGAAAAGACTCCTTGAGGGCCTTTAAGAATCTGGTTGAGGCGTATGATTTGTGAATCTGTGTTGGCTGAAGACAGCCTTGGGTGTCACAGAACCAGGCCTGGCAAGTCCCCTACGACAGGGAGCTCCTTGAGGACAGGCTGCCCCTCCTCATCCATCACTTGCCGTGCTTAGGGCCTCTGCAGAGGTCCGCAGCGTGGACTAAGGGCTCACTAAGAACTTGGGAATTGCGAGTGATGCACGAGAGAGTGCATCTGAGTAAGGGGAGTTCTCCACCTTGGCAGTGCTGAGGAGTCAGGACAGTATGGGGTTAAGATCAAATACAAGTTAGATGACCTTGCATTTAAATCTCAGCTTTTGCACTAACTTGCTCTGTGGCCTTGGTCAAGTCACTCAACCTCTCTGAGCCTCAGTAAAATGGAGATGATAATCTCTATTTCAGAGGGATGAGAGAAATAAGTGAGAAAATGTATACAGAGACCATGGCATCGTGCCTGCCTCCAAGGAAACACTCAATAAATGGCTTTGGGTCTCTCAGGGTCTGTTTTGTTGTTTGTTTAAATTGGGAGAGACTGTTTTCAGGCTTCCTCTCCCTACCTGTTTTCAATCTGGAAATGTCTGTTTTCTCCCCAACCTCCCCCCTCCCCCTTCTCTTCTCTCTTTGATGGGCTGGCTGATCTATTGGCCATCATGGCACGTTTCCCCCTGTCCTGAGCTTCTGCGAATTAAGAGGTGGTTGCTGAGAGATGCCGGGCACAGGGGTGAGTGGGTCTGGCCTTTCCTCTTGTTCTTTTTCAGCCTCACTCCATCCCTACCACACCCACTTCTCTCTCTCATCTTCCATGTTCAGGTTCTAAAAAGCCTTGAAGAAATTGACAAAGCTGGATGGCTACCCCTGAGAGGAGAGTGGTCTCTAAACCCCAGCGACCTGGCCGGGGACCGAAGGGGAGCAGGGCCTGCTTGGGTTCCCTGGACGACCTGGAGTGTAAGGATACCCAGGAGCTGGCACCGGGAGAGCTGGCCATGCTGAGGAAGGCACAGGAGTTCTTCCAGACCTGTGATGCGGGGGGCAAGGGCTTCATTGCCAGGAGCGACATGCAGGTAAGAGGGCCCAGCTGGGCCTGCCCGCCAGGAATGCCCAATGGCCTGCCTGTCTCGGGTTAGGGCTTGCCCTGTTGGTGATGACATCTTTAGCAGAAAAGATGCACCATCTGCCCTGGAAGGAGGTGTCAGCCCAAACTTACTGGGAACCGGTTGTCCTGCGTTCGTTCTCTTCCTGACCTTTACTTGCTGTCACACGTGGGGGTGTTGCCCCTCTCTGACTCAACAACTCCCCAGCTTGTGGAAAATAGAGATAGCAACATAAAGACTTAAGAAAGACGCGGTGAAGAACCTTCTGAAACAAAGGTGGCAAGCACTGTCATGTTGCTTCGTAATAAAGCTCCGAGCTGTGCCAGAGTCACCCCTGCGAGGTGGCAGGTGCGCCTTAGGGACAGGGCAGTGTCAGTGCGACGGCCCTGAGTGGGGGCACTTGTGGAGCTCATCGCATTTGTCCCTCATCCCCAAACCCAGCTGCACCCAAGCCCCTCGTAAGCACGTCCAGAGAGAGATGGAGGGTCTTCAGCGCACACCATGGCCGAGCACAGGGCTCAGCCAAGTTCTGGAAAGGGCCTAGGCTCAGTGTCTTTGTCTTGTGGGCCATGCAGTCTCTCTCATGGCCGCTCAACTCTGTGGGGGAGCACGAGCAGCTCCAGGCAGCTAGTTTTTCAAAATCCACTGAATTTGGGCGATGAAGTGTGGACCCTCATTAGTGTCAGCCCTGCGTCTGCTCGCGTGTGTGAGCTGCAAGGCGTGGAGGCTGAGGAGTGGGCCGTGTGACCTGGGTGAACAAACGGCCCCACAGGACGGTGTCTTCAGCCTTCTCCCAGGGCTCCACACCCTGCAGGAGTTTTACAAGTTGCGGGACAAGGCCTGGGAACAGAGCCAGCTTAGCCCACAGGTAAGTGCAGGCCACCCTTGTTTTCACTTCACCCCCCAGTGAATTTCTGTCACTGGAACTCCTTCGCAAAGGCTCACTTTGCATAGAAGGCCGGACTCTGTGTCTGAGGGAAGCTCTGGCAAGCCGCTGTCTGAGGCCCTCCTAGCTTCCGCTCACAGGCCTGTGGGCGTGCTGGTTCTAATGGCATGCGCACCTTTCCATGATCTCTTCTAGAAAGAAAGAAAAGGGAATCCACATTTATTGAGGGTCAACTCTGGGCCACACGCATGGTGCAGCTTGGCACTCTCACTGTCCTTGTCCCAGTCCACCGTCCTTGGAGCCACTCTTTAAGGAAGGGAGGAAGACGCACGGTGAATTTAAACTGTGGAGTATAGATCGTTAAAGAAGTCATTTGTGTTTGACTTGTAATGAAGTCCGGAGCATCAAGTCCCAGAGAAACCAGCTCAGCTCATGCCCCCTCAGTCCCGGCTCCTGACCCAGGCAAGAGGCAAATGGGAGGGACAGCTCACTCAGCAGACACTTGTGCCTCCGTGGCAAGTTTTTCTTCCAGCTACTTAGTTTTCTGAAGCGTCTGTGTACCTGTGGACCATGAAGCATTTACATTTTCAATTCTTCACGCTAAGAAAGTGCTACCGAGAGAGAACAGAGTACACCATTAAAGCACTGTCTCGCTGCTGCCTTCCTCAGTCACGTCTGGAGAAGGATAGGCTGGAAGGAGAAACGTGAAAAAGTCACCCTCTCATAGTCGACCCTGGCCTCTCTGTGGAGAGCCCACATGTCCCTTGGTCCTCCTGGTCACAGCCCACAAACATCTGCCTGTGGCTTGTCGCCCCCACACGTAGCTGCTTTGTGGGATGGTCACTCCTTTTGGTTGGTGGCCATCTCCTTGGACCTGGCCTCCACCACCTGTCTCACCTTCAGCTCCCAGCACAGCCGCATGGGAACTGGAAGGAGCAGAGCTCCAAGTGTGCATGCACGCACTAATTCGGCCCCTGGAGAGGCCCTTTAAAGCAGAGAATGGCTCTCAAGGGAGGGGAGGCTCTGGGCCATGAGGGAGGGAGAAGCTAGGTGGCTGGAGGAGGCAGGTGGAGAAGCAGAGTTGGAACACTACTATGGGGAGCTTGCTGTCCTTTTGGAAAAGGAATGAGAGAGTTAGCCCCGCCCCTAGGGCTCTTGTCCTTCTCGCCCCTCATTACCAAGTCTCCATTTGCAGAGTGAGAGGGACTTCCTGTCGTCCGAGAGCCGGGGGAGTCTGCCACGTGGTCTGAACCCCACAGTGTGTAGCCAGCCCACCCTGACAGAGCAGGGACCACAGAGGAAAGGAGCAGGGCCAGGAGAAGCTGTTTCTCTTTGGGGTCCCTGGAGGAACCTGAGGTGGCCGCCTGAGGGCGGGGTGCAAGCTGCCCCGTGCGCAGGCTCTGCGTGTGGATGTTCTGCTCCGGGGACGCAGCTGGTGGACTCTGAGCCATGCGAAGACAGTGCAGGTGGCAGTTCGAGAGGTCTCAGCCCTACCCGCGGCCCCTTGGACTGCACACCATCCTCCGCGGGGAACCTCTCTGGGTTCCCTGGGGTCCCTCCAGGTGGAATTGGAGCAAAGATTGGTGCAGTCCCCTAGAAAAGCAGAGTCGTGGGGCCAGGGCCCCTGGTGGAAAGTCAGTCCTGCCTCAGAGGGCAAGATGGACAAGAGAGGGCCAGGCTGGGAGGGCGTGAAGGCCCTTCAGCTGGGAGAGGGGGATAGGGCAGGGTGGACAGAAGTCCCTCTGAAGAATCCTAGGGCCTCAGAAATCCTGTCTCCCTGATTCCCAGAGGCGTGAAATGATTACCTCCCAATTCCAAGGACCTTCCTCCCAGCGCTGCTGGGGTTCCTGGCTTGGCCGGGCTGCTAAGAATCGTTTAGGAGTCGGCAGATCTGCCAGACCTGGTCTGCTGCCTGTTTCTGTAGAGTTTTACTGGAGGCAGCGCGTGCTCACTCACATCTTGTCCGCGGCAGCTTTTACACCGCGCTGCAGAGGTGAGCGGTGGTGACAAAGAGCCAAGGGCCTGCCAAGCGTAAAGTATGTGCTGTTTGGCCCTTCCCAGAAAAGCTTAGCTGACTCCGGACTTAGGGTAACAAGAAGACGTTAAGGATTTTTGTGGTAAATTGACCAAGTTTTAATCCTGAATCTGCAACTTACTAGCAGTGTGCATTTCTGTAGGTCTCTTAACCCCTCTGGGCTGCAGCTTCTCATCCGTGGATGATTTATAGCTACCCCTCAGCCCTGGCAGAGAGTGAAATAAGCTTATGCATGTAGAGCCCTCAGCCTTGAGACCCCGCCCTGGAAATCCCTCCACAGCCCTGATCTGTGGGGGCGCTCATACCCTGTGTTAGCCAGTCCTGGTGTCTTCCACACTGTAATTTTTAAAAATTATGGTAAAATAGACATAACATAAAATTTACCATCTTGACCATTTTTAAGTGTCCAGTGCGGTGGTATTCAGCACATCGCATTGCTGTGCCACCGTCACCACCATCCATCTCCAGAACTCTTTTCATCTTGCAAAACTGAAGCTTTAGACCCATTAAACAGTAACTCCCCACTCCCGCCTCCCTCCAGCCCCAGGCAACCACTGTTCTTTCTGTCTCTATGAATTTGACTACTTTAGGTACCTCATATAAGTGGAATCATACAGCGTTTGTCCTTTTGTGACTGGTTTATTTCACTTAAGCACAATGTCCTCAAGGTTCATCCACGTTGCAGCATGTGACAGGATTTCTTTCCTTTTTAAAGGCTGAATAATATTCCATTGTACCTGTATACCACTCTGGTTCATCCATTCATCCGTCAATGGACACTTGGGTTGCTGTCACACCCTTGAGTATGAATAATGCTGCTATAAACATAGGTGTACAAATACTCTTCAAGGCCCTGCTTTCAATTCTTTTGGGTAAATACCCAGAAGTGGAACTGCTGGATCATATGGTAATTCTATTTTTAATTTTTTGAGGGAATCGCAATTCTGTTTCCCATAACGGCTGCATGGTCATCCTGTAATTTTAAGTGCAAGTCATCAGTCCTCCTTCAGAGATAAAGAAAGGGCATTTCTGCTGGATAGGGCCCTTCCATTGGTATCTAGCTGGTGCTATTCGTGTTTGTGTCCGTGAGTGAGGCTATTTTGCCTCTTAGAGGACATTTGATAGTGTCTAGAGACGTTTTTGATTGAAACGACTAGAGAGGGAAGTGCTACTGGCATCTTGTAGGTAGTGTCCAGGGATGCTGCTAAATATCCTGTAACGCATAGGACAGCTCCTCTCCCCCTTCCCCCAGCAGAAAATTCTCCATTCCAAGAAGACAACAGTGCAAAGGGTGGGAAACCCTAGTCTACACCAAGCAATCAGCCTGAACCGAGCACATCGAGGCACAAAGCCAGATAAAGGTAGATCCTGCCTCCTGGACCTCGTGTCCTCGTCCTGAAGGTGTGTGGTGTGGCTGAGCTAGGCCACCAAGAAGAGAGTGGCTGGTGCTAGAACAGAGATCTGAACCGGAGGCTGTGGAAGCCCTGAAAGGAGGGAGACCATGATTCTGGCTGTAAAGATGGCTTTCTCCTAGTTTTCTCTTTAATGAGAAATGTAGACATGTTTGAAGCTGTGCAACCATTCCCTTTAAGCTACACGAGGCATATTACCGGGCTGGTGACCAGGAAGGTAGAGGGGTCTGGCTGGAGTGCAGCAGAAGACATCGTTTTTCCAGGGCTCTGGGAGCCAGGGCCCTCAATACTGCTGCTACAGGATTGCTTCCTGTTCCAGGTCCTGGAAAATCCCCAGTTTACGAGACCTTGCTGAGAATCAGCAGTAGTGCTGGTTCAGGATCTGGAGTGTGTGAGGTCTCCCCCAGCGCTCCGTAGACAGTTCAGGATCCCCTGCCATCACTCGTAGTCACTCATTTACTCATTCATTCGTTTAGCAAGGATCTAAATACTTGATGGTTGTCAGCACTGGGCTAGATCCTGGGACATAATAGTAAAAATGAATGGGGTCCCTGTTCTCAGGTCTCCCAGTCCACTGAGGGAACAGACAATGATCAACTCATTGCATCTATCGGTATGTGAAATACAAGCTGAGATAAGACGTATGAAGGAGAGAAGGTGTTTGGGGAGCTGTATAACCACAGAGGCTTCCTGAGGAAGCGATGTTGAGAGTGAAGAAGGAATTCAGAGTTATTGAAGGCGGTGGAGGGAGGCAGTGTTTAAAGGAGCCAAGGAGCTCTAAAGAGCTGCTTGGGCTGTGGACAGTATAGACAGGGCCAGCTGACTGCTTCCTCATCTCTCTTCTCCCCTGCTTGCTCTTCCAGAGGGGAGAGGAAGAGAAACAGATCTCTGGGAGGCTAGAGAGATTCTGGGGGGAGGTGGGGAGGTGTGGAATGGCAGTGCAGAATAGGGAATTCTAGAGTGAACACACTGGGGAACCGTGAGATCATAGCTGAGCCCTGAGTGGGAAATCAGTTCTTCATTCCAGCTCTGGTCTCCGCTGTGACTTCAGGCAAATCTCCGAGCCTCGCAGGCTGTCTGCGCAGTGGAATAAATAGTCTTGTCTCTCTCCACCCTGGTTACCTCACTTATTTAAAAATGTACACAGCACCAGGTGCCCAGGGGACAAGACCAGAATAAGTTGGTTTTACATGGCTCTGCAGACCCTGACAAGAAAGATAAATAAGAAGTAATTATGGTTATTAAGACTAAAGGATTTTTCAAGTAGAGCCAATAAAGAGAGGTTAAAGAATCTGGCGGGTGCAGCTGCAGAGAAGGCTGAAGGAGCGCTCAGTACTAATTTGCCAAGATGTGAAGAGTAAGAATGATTTGGAGGATATACTACTGCTTTCACCATCTTCACTGACACCAGAGAGAGGAAACCACCTTGACATGCAGACAAGAAGGGCTGGAATCAGATAATAGGAAGGCTTTGTGGTTGGAAGCGTTAGATGCAGCAATGGTGCCGAAGGTCGGGTATGACCTAGCTGTTCCCGGTTCACACTAGTAAGAGAAAAGGCGTCCTTATCCAGGGTGGTTTGGGTAAAAGGCAAATTGAGGGTCCCACTGACCTCTGCAGTTTCCTTCCAGCCCATTTCTAGCTCCAGCACAGAGTGAGAGAGCACATTTTAGAGCAGGTTCAGTGATCCTAGGCTGAGAGTGAGGAGAGAGGCAGGATTTCCCACGGACAGGACTGGAATCTGAGTCGGACAGGAGCCTGGGTTTTCACCCGACCTCCGGTGTCATCCCTTTGCTTTCAAAAGGAGCTAATAGACTTCCTGCTTGCCAGATTGACTCCCTCCTCACCCCACCTTCTCTTACTGTGGCTTCTGAGACAGCTGCTTTATGGATTGTTGGTAAACCAGAGATTCGACTGTATGCTAAGCAGATGCGCTTCTAGAATCTTTGCACACACTCTCACTCCCCTTCATTTTTTAAAAAGCTCATTCATATTTAATTCAGTTCTTCTAAATGGCTTCCACATCATTCTATCTTCCTGCTTTGTAATGCATCATGGTTTCCCTTAATGCACATATTTGCCAAATTAAACTTTATGGCTTATCAGTTAGAAGATTGCCATAGGATCAAGCCAAGTGTTCTTGCAAGTTGTGTTATGGGCTTTCACACCTGCCAGCTCTTTTTTATTGTTCAGATGGGTACATATCTTCCTTCCTTTGGCCCTGTATTCAGTGTCTTCGGCTGTCACTCACTTCCACACTGGAAATTTTGTACAATTGTCCCTTGGGTAACTAGGAGGAAGTGGGAAAGTCAGCTGGAATATAATGAACTCCCTTGGGAAGTCCTCATTTGGAGACTTACGTTTTTAGGGTATAAGAGGACGCTTGCTTCAACTATGCAAATTGGCCTTGGCCTGGGGCTACTGCGCGTCAGGCAGAAAGCTGGAAGAACGCATCAGCAGCTCAGCCACTCTGTTCCTCATCCCATCAGCTGGTCCCTGCCCTTCCATCCTCGTGTGGTCCTAGTCAGCCCAGGACTCACGGCCAGTGTTTATTTATGACCTCCTCACACCATCTTGTCCACTTCCCTTTTGAAACACAAATACTCCTGCGGGATTGGCACCTCGAGCCAGCAGGGAGCAGGAGTGGCATACAGCCTGGTGTGGTAGGTACAGGTCACTCAGAGGGAACAGGGGGCCTATCCGGCATCCCCCCAGAGGTAAAGCACTGACAGGTATGTCCATAGAAACTTAGAAATGTGGTGCTCGGGCCCTGGGACATGAGTGGCCTCCATCAGGGAAGACCTCTGGGAGTGTGACCCACAGCTGCATCGCAACAGGGGAGGCAGCGCGGTAGAGGAAGGGGCTTGGGAGAAAGACCAGGTGAGAAACCTGGCTCTACCACACTCCCCAAGTGCCCTTGGTGGTCGGTGGATCTCTCTCTCGCTCTGCCTCCCTACTGCTTTTTATTGAATGTGTTCTCTGTGCCAGGCACTGAGCCGTGCTCTTGACGTTCATTGTCTCATTTAATTTGACAACACCACATGTGGAAGTGTTATCCTGCAACAGTATTCAGTCCTTTATAGTTGTGAAGGGCGCCAGCTTTGGAATCAGACCTGGATTTGACTCCTGGCAGTCATTTACTGGCTAGGTGACCTTGAGATGGGTCATTTAACTTCACACTCCATCTATAAAATGGGGGTAATAATGCCCACCTCAAAGGATTGTCATGAGAATTAAATGCAAATACATACAGAGAGATGTAGATAAATATATCAATAAATAGATACATAGGTATCTATTTATTTATTTATAAATCACCTGGCAGATTGTCTAGCACATAAGTAGGCACCCAATAAATGGTAGATGTCCTATTATTCAAAGGAGGAGAAGGGTGGAAAAGTGGTCTTCAGAAGCTTGCTTCTGGCTTTTGTAGGACAGGGCCAGCTCCTGACATTTTTGGCAGAAAGCCCTGAAGCCCAGGGCAGCCCCCGTGATCAGCAGGGTGTTGACCAGGGTCGTCTGGATTGCCTTCAGAGGCTCCGTGAGGAGTTGCCGCTCAGCCTGGAGGACCTGGAGGATGTGTTTGATGCCCTGGATGCTGATGGCAATGGCTTTCTGACCCCAGAGGAGTTCACCACTGGATTTAGTAAGTTCTGATGGACGCTGGGGCCCCAGGGTTATAGGTCCACCTAAAGCTATATGAGGAGCACCCCTGCCCCACAGATCTGAGGGTCCATGTGGCACAAGCTTTCCTGCCCTCCTGAACTTCCAGGCTCTGCACTATTTGGGCCTCTTTTCGCATGTCCACCTTGGCTGCTCACACCACTGCTCTCCCAGTGCCCACCGTACTGTCACTGCCAAGTCCCCTGCCCCCTGAGAATGGCAAGGGGAATGCAGGGAAGCTCTGGCGGAAGGCTTGGCATCAAAGGGTGAGCTGAGATGAGATCTCCAGCCTCTCATTCTCTGCCTTGATACCAGTGGACAGCAAAGTGGCATGACTGCATGACGCACTTCAACCTGAGTCCAGCTGAGTCTCCCAGGTTGAGGGTTCCAGCTGTCAGAGGACTTTCTGGAGGGTTTGAAGAGACCGTTCATTCTCAAGGTAGCCAGGAGGAAGGAGAAGTGAGATTCCTGAACAAGATAAAGAAACCAGACACACCGTCAGATCAGATATTGATCAGATATTGATCAGCACAGGTACTGGTCAGATAAGAGGCAAGTTTTACCATACATCTGCCTCATATAAGGTACCATATCGTTTCCTTAAAAGTCTCTGATGCCTTTCCTGACCTTCAGGGACTTAGAATTCACTTGGGAGGATAAGACAGGTTGCTGGGTTACTAGCCAGGAGAAGTGTGGAGAAAGTGCGCCTGAAACTGTTAAGTAACTTGTGAGTGCAAAGGACGGTGACAGTGGTGGTCTGGGTGACCAGGTCATAGCATGGAATGTGGGCAGGCAGGCTGCAGGAGTGCGATGGAGGGAAAGGTGTTGTTTAGAGAAGAAATCAACAGAGATGGGTTCTAAGCCTTGAGTTAAAGAATTGAGGACCACAAAGATGCCATAGTACCTGTCATGCATTCTGCCTTCCCCAGGTTCTAGCATTTCTGGCAGAATCTCATGGAAGTGGGAAAGACACAAAGTCAGGATCATGGTATCCAAGAATCTTTGCCCCCAATAGGGGGTTTCCCTTTTTTTTCTTTCTGGAAAACCTCAAGTGATTCCTGGCGCCTGGAAAGCTGAGGTTTTCCTGGGTGAGTATTGCCTAATTTAGATTCTTGTGCCCTGTATCCTCCAGGCCACTTCTTCTTCAGCCAGAATAAGCCAAGTCAGGAAGATTCAAGTGAACAGGCGGCCCAGCTCCAGGAAGAGAAGGTCTATCAGTCCAGAGGGGAAGAGGATCTGGATGACATGGGCGAGGATGAGGAAGCCCAGTTCCAGATGCTGATGGACAAACTTGGAGCCCAAAAGGTTTTGGAAGAGTAAGTGGCCACAGTGGTTTGGGGGATGGAGCCCAGCCTCGGAGCAGCCTCCTCATCTGCCCGCCTCCACCATTAACATTCCTTAAACACTCTGCCGGGCTCCACACTGAGCCTGCCTGGAGACGCGCTGGCTACAGCCTGAGACTCGCCGCCTACAGCCTGCACTCTGCAGTGGCCTGTCTGTGTGTCTAGGGCTCTGTGTCTGCTTTTTACATTTTTTCATGGGAAGCACTCCTATCCCCCTGCTCTCCTGCTCTGTCCTCACCTGCTGCTGTATCCACACAACCCTTGCCTCAGCCCTGCTCCCAGGTGTGCTCACCCATCAGAGGGCTGGGTGAGGCCTTGAGGGTTTTTCGGTGAGTTTTGCCTAAGCCTTCCCATCACCATCAGCTCTGCTGGAGGCAGCCCTGGGTCTCAGGGCTGCGTGCATGCCAGCTCCGCACCATGGTGTGCTCCTGGCAAAGGCCCTTCGGGTGGACGCTTTGCACATTGTATCCCTGAGCCACACCAAACCTCTTCAGGAAGGTGAGGTGGGAAATTCACCAGTTTTTACCAGCCTGCCACTTGGATAATCAATAGCTCAGCTGGAAATTTTAGATGGCTGGAACTTCACATGAAATGTAATACCTCTGTTTTGTTTTGTTTTGTTTTTCCCAAAAAGTGCTTTGGAATAAAGAGACGCATGGATCTAAGCCCTGACATTTAAAGTGAAGTGAAATGAAATGAAATCAGACATTAAAATAAAATAAAAATAAAAAATAAATGAAATGAAAAAGTAAATAAAATAAAAAAAACATAACATAGCATAATGTGAATTTAAATTAAAATAAAATAGTAAAAAGACGTTGTAGCTAATAAAACCAGACACTGGCCTGAGAAACGTAAGCTGCTGTCTGCCCCGTTTTCCCGTTGCCTTTTGCCTTCTCATCTTGGGGTCTGTGGGTCTTGGCTTGGCTGTGAGTTTTGCAAGGGGTGGGGCTGGCCTGATAGTTGGAGCTGGTTGTCCTGAGCTGGGGCAGAGAAGGGACTGTGGTGGAGAATGATAAAGAGGTAGCAAGAGGGAAGGAGCCTGACATGACATCAGGCCAAAGAAGGTCTCTGCAGCTCTGAATTTTTTCGCAGACAATTTGATAGACTGTGTCAGACTTGAGAAGCTGGCCAAAGCCGTGCCAGGCCGGGAGGGGACAGGCAGAGGCCTAGGAGAGAGCCCTGTGGGAGGCCCTGCACATGAAGTGAAGTGACACCGGGGGCCATGGCAGCAGCTCTGCTGCAGGCCTGGGAGGGCTGGTGCAGGCGTGGAGCTGCAGAGTGTGCCTTGGGGCAGGTGGGTGGGAAGCTCGTTACTCAGACACCTGATTCAGCTTCTCCAAGGACAAGAGGCCAGAGCACCGGGACCAACTGCCAGTGACGCTGTGAAGCCTGCCCCTGGAGGAAGGGAAGGAGAGGGCGGTGGGGGCTAGCCAAGGCGCTGCAGTGAAGGAGAGGCACCTCTCCTCCGACCCGTCACTTCGGGGCAGCCAGCCTCCTGGCGGGGCTCTAAATCAGAGCTCCCCAGATGTTACTGTGAGGACCCATGCCAGAGGCCTGTGCAGAACTGAGCTGGCATGAGATATCCTGGAGAAGAGAAGGCTCTGGAGAAGGTTTCAAGAGTGGCCTACAAGAACTGATATGCAGAAGATGGTGACCAGCAATTTCCATCCTCAGTGAGGTTAAACAAGAAGGAAGTGGGCTTAAGCTGAAGCATGAGGGTGATGTCACAACTGTGGGGCCCCAGATAAGGAAACAGGAGGCTGTGAGGACTTCAGAGGTCTTTAATAATTTCATGCACCAAAATGGTTTGTGTATTATTCTGGAAGCAGGGAGGTGGATAGCTTGACCTTCTAGAATCCCTCCCAGCCCTGTACTCCTATATCCTTCCACAAGAAGTAGCCTCGGTAGCCCAGATGTGGTAGACTAAGCAGCTGGACTCCCAGCTGTTCTTGGGGGTCTAGTTGGCTGAGTGGCTTGGCAGCTTAGTGGGCCTTAGCTTGTCTTCATGGAGAGTTGAAAGACTTGTCCCTTCTCCAAATCTGGGGTGAAGCGATGTGGCCACGACTAAGTGGTGCGAGAGCTTTGAAAGAGGGTCAGGTGGGACTGCAGATCTCGCTGGAGGCTCTAGCTAGTTAGCTCCAGGAGGAGGCCAGCAGTGAACAGACAGACCTGGGCTGGCAAGGTGGACCTTGATTTTATAATGCCTTTACTTCACGAGGGGAGCACCCTGCCCAAGGGATGGGAGGTCATCGTGGCATCTCCCTGAGACCTTCTATCTTGGAACCCTTTGTGCCATCTCTGTTGTACCCGTACAACAAAGTGGACAGTCATATCATGTTCTGTATGGGGAAAATGGAAGTCATTCTGGAAAGCAGAGGCTCCTTAGCTGCCGTGCTCCTGTTTCCAGATTCCCTCGTGTCACCTCAGTGTTAGGTTTTCAGCAGATGATAAATAGTTGTTGGGTGGATGGACGGATGGATGGATGATCTAGATGAGTTGGTGGATGCTTGGATTGGATGGAGCAAGGAAAGGAAGGAGGGAGGACGAGTGGATAGATGGTGAGATAACTAACTAGAGGTAGGTCCATTTCTCAGTGGGCCTCTCCTCTGCTGGGAGCAGAATGTAACATCTATGCCCCAGGCACACTGCTAACATGGCACTATCAAATATCACTTCTGAGGAAAATTTCTCAAATATAGTGCTTGTTACACAAGGCTTTTATTCTTTATCCTGTGGGTTCCTGGTCGTAGCTACCCTCAGATTGTAGTGGTTTTAGAACTTAAGGGCATGCAAATCAGATTGCTCTTGGTCTTAGTTTGATCATTGGCTGTAGATTGTTGAATTGCTCCAGAGAGGGAGAGCAGAGTCTGTGGTATGTGTCTCCTCCTGTTCCTCACCATGCTGGTCCACATGACCCTGTGTGTCTTGTTGCTGCGCGGTGCACACACATGCCCAGGGGACCGGTTTGGGCCGGGGGAGATTTCTAGGCATGTCGCTCTGCATCTTTGTCTCTCTGCCTGCCTCTGTCCCTCTCGACTTTCTATTTGGCTTTCTATCTGTGTACACACATCTTTCAGACCTGCTCCTTCCCTTCCTTTCGCCTGTCAGTCATTCCTGGTGCTACCAGGCTCCAGTGGGGTGCTGCATATTCTCTTCCATTCCCCGCGGTGACAGTTGCTTCTGCCATCCATCAGATAGCACGTCTTTACCTCTCAGCCGTGAGGACTGTCCTTCCTGGGGCGACAAGCTCTCTCCCTTAGCTCCACAGCATTTGTCGCCACATGCCTCCCATCCCCCTCTCTTCTTCCTGGCATTCTGAGATGTTTCCAGCATGTGGCTCTGCCTGCTCAGCACCACCAACCCGTCAAGAAAGACAGGAGAGCAGAAGCAGTCAAGCGCGGCGGTTAAGGAGGCCAACATAGGAGCCAGACAGCCCCAAAGTTGACTCCTGGCTCATCATTTCCCGGCTGAGTGATCTGAGACAGCTCCCTTCACCTCTCTTCGTCTGTTTCCTCATTTGTGAATGGGAGTCATCACAGCGCCTGCCTCCTAGGTTACTGCGAGGAGCTATATGCATAAAGCACCTGGCGTACAGCCAGCACTCAACGTGAGCCACTGGCATCCTTGTCACGATGACGATGATGTTGTTTCTGGCCGTCGGTTTCACATCTGGGAACCTCTGTGTTTCCCATAAAGCCTCGTTTCCACACTCCCGCATTAATACCCCGTTCTCTTGCAGTGAGAGCGATGTCAAGCAACTCTGGCTGCAGCTGAAAAAGGACGAACCTCATTTACTGTCCAACTTCGAGGATTTCCTGACCAGAATCTTCTCCCAGCTCCAAGAGGCCCATGAGGAGAAGAATGAACTGGAGTGCGCCCTGAGAAAGTGGGTACCCAGTCTCAGCCTCTCTCTCTACATATGTGTGAAAAACAGAAACACTCAGCCTGCTTTCTCTTATATCTTATATTCCGTGATGCCTCCTTACTGCTGTCTGCCAGAGTGGGGGCCAGGCCTTATGGCTGTCATAATATATGTATTTTTAAGCCCTCGCTCACATTTATCAGACTCTCACCATATGCTAGCCACTATTCTACATACTTTCTAGGCACTAGCTCATTTGGACTATTCCTTATTATCCTCATTTTACAGATGAGGAAGTCGAGGCCCTAAAAGGTTAGTAACGTGCCCCAGAATACACGGCTTGTAAGTGGCAGAGCCGGGATTCAGAGGGAGGTAGTCTGGCCCCTGAGACCAGTTGGAAGACCATGCTACCTGCGTCTGGGCAGTAGGGCCCCAGCATGCTGGACCTACCCTCCAACCCAGGCCTGGCCTTCAGTCCCACTGAGTTTGCCCCCTGCTGACGACTCTCTCTCATCATGGTCTCACGTCTCTCCTGTTAACCTCTTTGTCCCCATGGCCTCTGCGGGTAATGAGTGATTTCTAGGACTCCTCCTTTGCCTAGAGGAGACAGGTCCAGGTCAGTTGAACACCAACACCTGAAGAGGCTGCTTAGGAACGAACTGGAACCAGCCTGTGTGCCGCAAACGTGGGGAGTGGGGGGCAGCCTGGTAGATGGCCATCCACTGGGGGGAACGGGTGTGCCACGGGGGTGCTGTGCTTGTCCACAGCCATCGAGCATATGTTACAGCAGTGAGCTCGCATGTATGACTAAAGACAGGTCGCAATCCTGAAAGTGCCACCGACCCCGGGGCCCAGTTTGGGTAGAGCTTGGAAGCAGGCCGAAGTGGTCCTGCCCCGTGCCCCTGCCACGCTGTCTGGTCCCCGCCTGGACATTCGCACCTGTGCCTTAGGAATCCTCACAGTTCACGGCTGCGCCGTTCCACGGGCCTGCGCCTCGGAGCGCACGCTGCCCAGCACGCTTCCTGGTGCCCAGCAGCACCTCCGGGGGCAGTGTGCCAGAGTCTGTGCTGACACGGCCTTAGAGAGAGCACGCAAGCCCCTGATTTAAGGAGATCACCTTGTGTCTTACTGTGTAGATCGAATATCTCCACCTTGCCCTGAGCTCCTGTGCGTCGTGTGCCTGCCCCACATCTACTCTAACAGTAACTGGTCGAGGTCCATTGGGGATACACAGGTCTGGAAAAAAGGACCTTTAGGACCCTGAGTTATGAGAAAGCTGCGGCCAACTGGTGCTGGAGGGAACACAGCTGGGCTAGAGGAATGGTAGGAGTGTTCTGGGGAGAGGCCCCCAAGGCTCAGAGGAAGAAGGGGTTGAGGCTGTACTTCCGTATAGGCTTTAGCTGATTAAGTCGTGAGTCAGACAGGTCTGAGTTTGAGTCTTGGCTCTGCCACTTACTGGCTGTGTGACTTAGGCCAAGTTGCTTAACCTTGCTGAGTCTCAGTTTCCTTATCTGTAAGATGAAGACGATACTAGTATCCATCTCATAGAGTTTTGAGGATTAAAACGTGGTAATACGTGTAAGTATTTGGAACAAGGCTGGCACATAAGGATTCAATGAAGGTTAAAATAATAATAATTATTATTTTAAATAGGTATGTTTATCAGTCTTAGAGGCTTTGCCTGACTGAAGTAGAGTTTGAGCCTTGATATAATCAGAGGTGAAGTTTAAGAACCCTTTATCCTTCCGGACAGCATGTTGTAGTCTTGGTATTCAAAGGGTGGTCCATGGACCAGCAGCATCACCATCATCTGAAACGTCTTAGGAATGCAGAATCTCAGGCCTCGCCCCGCCCTACTGCATCTGCATTTTCATCAGAGGGGCAGGGGCTTTGTGTGTAGATTTGAGAAGTGGGGCCTGGGAATCAGGAGCTGTGGGTTTGATTCATGTGCAGCTCTCCAACCAGCTAGCTCTGTGACCTCGCTCGTGTCTCTGGTCTCTCTGAGCCTCAGCTTTCCCACCTGTGAAATGAGGGGGCTGGATTCATTTCCAACCCTCCCTGCACCCCCACTCCCCTCTGACTCCGGCATTGATTACCCTGAGGAGCCCCAGAGAGAGTCGAGTGGCCCCCAGAGAGATGGTGCCCTTGTTCTCTAAGGAGGGCGAGGGTAATTGCGGTCTGAATGGGAGTGATGAGTGGGCTCGTGGCCTGGCTTCTTATCTGCAGGACGCTGCCCTGCTGCCTGTGCTCCTGCGGAGAGGCCAGTGCTCCTAACTTGCTGCAGAGCCTCGGAACCCTCACATCCGTCTTACAGTGGCCTCCATTCATGCTTTTACCCTAATTTAATGATTGCTCTCAACGTGCTTGAGATGGTAGTCAAGGTCACTCTTGGCTGCATGTGCACAACTGGCTCAGCCAAATGTCTCAGCCGTCTGTGCCCGTCCTCTGTCGATATCCCTGCCAGCTACACCTTCCCTGGGGTCAGCTGATGAAGGCCCACTCCTGGCTGGGGAGCTCTGGTGGGATTAGCGATTCACTGAGCTCTCCGGCCAGTCCCATTCCAGGGGTGTTCTCTGAGCGCAGAACCAGAGAACTGCAGGCTGTGGTGAGCAGAGCACTGAAATAGGGGACAGGAGAAACCTGAGTTCTTACCCAGGCACTGCCACTGACCAGCTGTGTGACCTCCAGCAACTTGCTTTACCTCTCTGTGCATCAGTTTCCTAACTGGCAACATGAGAGAATGGGATCGGTGTTTTCAAACTTTTTGTGTGACTCTTTACCAGAAGAAATGCGTTTGACTTTGCAACTCCCATACACTTATATGTGTGTAACTGAAACAAAAGTTGCAACAAAAGTGCTCATGCTTACTACATGTGACATACTCTGATCATTTCTGTTAGAGTCTCTTATTCTATTCTCTTCTATTAAATTAAAAAAAAATGTTGGTCACATCCTGCTTCTGGGTTATGAATGGACCAGATGGTCTATGAGGGCCTTTGCAGCTCAGAAGTCAAACTAGAAACTGGAAACCCCAATGAGGTAGAGAATATCTAAGTAGGATTCTTTACACATGACTCTGGGTGAGGGTAAGTGTTTCTGGGGCGTCTTCTAGGAGATGAGTTTGGAGGTTTGGGCTTGTCTGTGGGGGTGCAGAGCCAGCGTTAGAGGGGAGGAGAAGGACCGCTCCGGGGAATGGCCTGATGGGGGCTGGAGTCGGGGAGGCCTGGGAACTCCCAGCCTCCTCTGCAAGCTCGCCTTCCAGTCCAGGGAACAACGATTCAGCTCCATCTGGAAAATGAGCATCCGTCCCAGAGATGGCGACGAGAGGTCAAGTCATTGCTGCTGTGTGTCCAGCAGGGCCAGGCACCACGGAATATAGTCCACCTGGTACTGGTGGCTCACGTTTAACGAGCGCTTACTCTGTGCCAGGCTCTGAGGTAGGAACACAGAACACAGAGTTCCCATCTTCGAGGAGTTTATGATCACACTGGTGAAGCAGAGGTCATACCCATAAAGATTCTACCACACAGCCACCCAGAAGATTCTCGTGCTGTTGCAACAGACAGCGTTGCCGTTGGCAGCAGTGGCCTCTTCGTCCTCCTCATCTTCTAAACCCTCCCTTTGTTTCTTTCTCCCGTGGGGTCCAGAGAAAACGGGCTGTTTTAGGGGCAGGGGACGGGAGTAGGGGGGTCTGGCCTCAACCAGGTCAGGCAGAATGTGGACCTCCTGCCCCAGCTCCCCTGGCTGGGCCGTGCCCCTCAGGGGTCGTGTTGCTGCAGTGAGTGCAACAGGTCGGCCCCCGCAGCCTCTCCAGCTTCCCCTCCCTTCTGGGACGGAGGAGGATGCAGCTGGGTTGAGTGCATGGGGAAAGCCCTTGGTGGCTGATGTCAGGAGACCAACCTCTGGGGCATCGTCAGAAATAACTGGGGCCCTCCTTACCTCACTGACATGGGTTTTTTTGTAACCTCCATATTGAGGATAGGGGAAAGAGGCAATCTGGGAGCATCCCATCTCCCACCCCCTCGTCTTTTGGGGGGGAGGTTGAGGAAACCTGAGATCTGAGTCAGAATCCTGGATACAGCGTTTGACTCCGTTGTGTGTCCACTGGGAAGCAGCCTTAGCCCCGTGGGGCAAGGTAGAGGCCACGGTCAAATGCGGGACCCTTGGGCCGAAGCCCAGGTCCTCTGCTGAACTTCCAGGGTGAGGTGTGCTCCCTCTGTGCCTCCACTGCTTTCCGGGGAGTGGGGCGTGGAGTACCACTGACCACTCTCCCCTGTGTCCACCGTGCAGAAGCTCAGAGCACTTCACCTTTTTGCATGAGAGAGAGAGTTTGACCTGAGGAAGAACTTCCGGCCATCAGAATGAGAAGTTCCTTTGCCACAGGAAGCGTTCTTCCCAGTTACCTTTCTCTGGGACAAAAGCTTGAGCTCTCCAGATGTAGAAGGATGCTGTCTGGAGGCAGCAGGAGATTCGGATCTTTCATGGTGATCACTAGGGGATGCCGAGGGCCCACCCCAGGAGGACCCAATTCATTTGGTCTCGGGTGGGGGCTCGAAGTCTGCATTTATGAAACATTCTGAGGATTCTGAGTTTTAACCTGAGTTGGAATCTGTTGGATAAGTTGACCTGGTTGGGTTTCTTATCAAGATTTGCCCCTGGGGAGGCTGGGGGTAAGGAAGAATTAAGCTGTATCTAGGGAGTGCTTGGGGCTCTTTGAAGAGAAGTGCTTTTTAGATCAAAGGCCGGCCATGGGCTCTGCTCAGTCGTCTGCAGCTCAGCAGCCTGGGAACACCACCCAGGCTGTGTGTTTCGTATCATCAGTAGGCCACACTTGGCCTTGACAAGCTTAGCAATACTCCCCACACCCTCGTTGGAATCAGCTCCTCATCTGCACAGGCTTTCCTTGTCCAGCTGAGTTAGGCCTCAGGCAGTTTCCTGAGAGCACAGGGGCCCCTAAATTGCAGCCCCTGCCCAGCCACCCTGCGGGCGCTTTCTGTCTAGGTTGATTTCCCTGGGTTCTGAGA